GTTTTTTATATTTAAAGAGTTTTTATATTTTATATTTTTTAGATTCAAACGCGAGTTTTGGGCAGTGTAGGAGTAGGGCTTGTTGTTTGTAATTTCTCCGATCACAAATGCAGACATGGTTTTATGTTTACACGGCGCGATGCAACGCCGTGTAAACATTTTTTATTTTTATTTTCTATAAAAAGACAGTATAAGTCACTATAATCCGTAATTATGTCCCCACTGGATGCAACAAATGCCTAGTTTATAATGGGTTTTAATGTTTTTGTCTCGTCGCTCCGGCCGGACACGGCATCATCACAGTATGGTGAGGGGCGTAACATTTCCGTCACACGCTTGAGGTATTCGGCCAATCACAACGCACTGGATAGCTGGCCAATCACAGCACACCTTGCTTTTCAGAACGATGAGCTTTGTAAAAATCGAGGCGTTTCAGAAAGGCGGGGCATAGAGGAGAAACAATAATGTACAGTATGTGGAAAATAATGTGTTTTTTTAACCTTAAACCGCATAAACACATTTCATTACACCAAATACACAACATAATGTTCTTTTTAGCAGCATCATATGACCCCTTTAATGAATTAAACTTAACTTAAATTGAAGCATATATAATTATGTTTCACACATATTTCATACATCTTGAGGAGCTTTGGTAATAATTAATCCATGAAAATGGTGCAATAACTTTACATTTATAAATAAAAAATTATCTTTCTCTATCATCGTTTACTGATGAATGACTGAACTCCTTCACAAAAGTTTCAGTTCATTTTTGTCTCTATATTTGTACGTATGTAAAAGGGTTAAAGTTTTGCACGGCATCAAAACATTGATATATTTCAGCATCTATCCAAACATACATGTTAATTACACTGACCTGCAAGTAGGGTTTCAAATTTTCATGTTGCGATTAATTGTTAATGCTTTTATCACGGTATACGGTATTATCACGGTATTGAAATTTAGTTGCAAAAAAGTGCTGTCATAATACAGTCTAACAGGTTTAATAACCTTTTCTTATAACAAAAATAACTGAACATTTAAACAGCCTACAATAAAGCAATACACAACAAATGTATAAAGTTAAAATTTTTACACAGATTAAAGTGCAAAAGAATTATAAAGACCAATAGTTAACACTTTACAATAAGATCTCATTAGTTAACCTTAGTTAATGCATTAACATTCACAATAAGCAATAGCTACATTTGCTACAGAAGCTATTAATCCTTGTTAAAAAATACAACTAGCTCATTAAATAACACTGTTGCAACTTTTGATTTTAACAACGTGTATTGGAGATATTTATGGTGTTATTAAGATTAATGAATGTTTAGAAGATTTTTTCATTGGCAGTTTATGTTAACTAATGTCAACTAATGAAGCCCTAATGTAAAGTGTCACCGAACAACTATCAAAACACTTTCAAACAATATCTAGGGCATGTTGTAGTCCAGAATAAAATGTAAAAAAAGTTTGAAAATAAATAGCCTATTAACACAAATCTGAATGGCTATTTAAATAATTTAAATATGTTTTAGAAAGTAGCTCAGCTGCTTTGATTACAGAGGTTTCCGGGGTAACGGCTGCATTTCTGCTGTTCAGCGCCATCTGCTGTCAGAGAGTGAATGTGCTTTCATCCAGAGCACACATTCAATTAATTTGTAATAAATAATTATTCTCGGTATTTTGAAGAATTTGTAATAAATAATTATTCTCGGTATTTAGAAGTGCCCACGATAACAACATCGTGCATATTCATTACCGTGATATACCGCATTACCGAATACCGGCACATGTCTACCTGCAAGTACTGCTGAGCTCACCTTTTACAGTTCTCGTCTAGTGTTTTCATCACATAACAGAAACAGCATCATGTAAGAGCTGTCATAATGTCCAGCAGTTCACCGCTGCGTTTCGTGAGTCTAAACCTCAATCAGCTCTAACAATGTGCTAATTAGCTGCACACTTCAGATACGAGCCACGACTGACACAATACCACTGCTCTATTGTTTCCTTCACAAACATGTGTTTGTTCAATGTTTATTTCATTTCATTTTCAAAATGATAAACACTTACCTGTCCACAGCAATGGCAACCAATGTGAAAACAGAGGCACAGACAGACGTTCCTTGCACCAGACCACTCAGTTTGCATATCGTGTTGCTGAAAGGCCAACCTGACAATGACAGAAACATGATCACACTAAATCTAGAAATTCAGTTGACTAAACTAGAGAAAGTTTGATGACAAATTTTGATGTTGGCTCGACAAAGCCTTGTCTGAATGCTTGAAATGACTTTAAAAACTTAAAGGGTTAGTTCACCCAAAAATGCAAATTATACGGGTGAACCCCTGATGTCACATGGACTACTTTAACGATGTCCTTGCTACGTTTCTGCGCGTTGATCGTGGTATTATGCTGTCTATGGGAGAGTCAGAGAGCTCTCGGATTTCATCAGAAATATCTTAATTTGTGTTCTGAAGATGAAGGTCTTACGGGTTTGGAACGACACGAGGGTGAGTAATTAATGACAGAATTTTCATTTTTGGATGAACTATCCCTTTAAATCCTGATTTATAATCGCGACCTTGTCTGATAAAATCAACATACATCTACACTAAAGAGCGGCTATGCGGTGGTTTTGGCTATATTTATACTTTTTTGCCTCATGCAGCGCACAGCCTGCTTCTGAGTAACAAACTATGTGCATATTAACAGATGAAATATGTTCATATTTATAAGTCCAAACATTCAGAAAATGACACGTGCTTGCTAGGTTTGTCAGTATGTACCTTTTATGGGCAAAAAGTCGCTAAAAGGGTCTGAAAGTTGCTAAATATAGTGCTAAAGTCGCGCTCGTGTGTGTGAGACGTGGGAGCTGATTGCAGGGGCCGGTGGATATTTGTGGCGGTCAATGAGGATACTGTGGCGGGCCGTCACAAATAAATCAATGTACGGGAAACCCTGCTATACTTGGCAAACACCTAAGTAGCAACAGTGAGTTTTGCACAGGTAAATGTTGTTATGTATCAAAAACTAGATTTCCACACCTGTGATGAGGTTGTCCACTAGTGTCGTGGGAATGCAGAAGATCCCGATTAGCAGGTCGCTGACGGCCAGATTCAGGATGAAGATGTTGGTGACGGTTCTCATGTGCCGGTTCCTCAGGACTATCACACAGACCAGACCGTTTCCCATCAGGCACAGCAGGAAGATGAAGAGATACGCCAGCGTGAAGAGCGCGGCCGTCGGCAGAGAATGCTGGTAATAAGGAAACAGGACGATGCCCTCTACTGTGCTGGAGTTGGTGCTGTTGGTCTGGTTGGTGCAGGAGACGAGATCTGAGATGATGTAGACGGAGGCGGCATCCCATAATCCCTCAGAGGCCTCCATGAATGCAAAGCAATGCTGGGAACAAACACACAAAAAATAATTTTCTTCAGTTTTAGCTCTAATACTTTTGAAAGCCCGTTTCTGCTAATTAATAAAAAACTTTTTTGTAGCTCACAATTTGGGCTATGTTTCTCGCAGTTATGAAAAAAACCATCAGAATTGCAAGTTATAAATTCAGAGTTGTTTTTTTTTTCTTGCAATTCTGAGATTACATCTCTGCAATTTCTGCCCCTGAATAAAAAAATAAAAAAATAAAAATAATATATATATATATATATATATAAAGCCTGTTTCCACCACGGGATAAAAAAACAAAAAGGTAAATAAACAAAAGGTAATTGTGACTTTTTATCATAATTTGGAGGGGTTTTTTAACAGAATTGAGAGAAAAAAAAATGTTATTATGAGAAAAAACTCATAACTGCAAGAAAAAAAGTCAACTCAATTGTGAGGAAAAAACTGCCATTTACATTTTTTACTATTATTCCATAGTGTAAACAAGCTTCCATAAATACTACTGACATTTAGCAACAAAACACATTGAAATAAAACCCATTTAAAACGGAAAAATCCAGTTAAAAACATTTGAACCCTGTTGACAGAGCAGCTTTTAACATCTTTCATACTGTGAAGCGTAAGTGGTTTGCTGAAGTGATTATTTATAGTTAAAAACCATGATTGAGGAATCGGATTGAGGTCAAATGTATAAGGAACACACAGGTCTAGATCTCAGAAACTAAGGTAAACTTACACAAATGCTTGTTTTCTCAAACATATAATCAAAACAGTCTTACATTAGAGTGGTTTTTGTGGATTTTCATGTCATCCAAACTAAAATGACAATATCACAAACTCTTACAGGTTGTGTTTTATTTTTCTCATTCTTAAAATTGCATTATTATTGTTATTACTGTGACAAGATAAAACGTGTGTGTTTGTCGTAATTTGTTAATATCTTATTTATGTACTTAACTACCTAGTTATCTGGGATAAAACTATATTTTTTAATACTACATTTTTCTCCAGAAATGCTTTACTGTTAAATTTGCTTTAAAAAAGAAAAGTGACAACATGCCCCGGATCATTCAACGTCTGTACAATGAATGTCAACGTATGTTTTTTTTTTCCCCGAGTACAACAAATATGAAATGTTTAATAACTAAACGTTAACAGCCAAGACTTTGCCCCGGATCATTCAACGTCTGTACAATGAATGTCAACGTATGTTTTTTTTTCCCCGAGTACAACAAATATGAAATGTTTAATAACTAAACGTTAACAGCCAAGACTTGAAGGTTAATTCCTAATATAGAAACTGTGGCGAGTTACATAAATAAACGCACTCTGAGGAAAAAAAAGCTTGTCCCAACCGACAAATCGCACATCTATCATCTTTTTTTGTTCGTATAGGAATATGAATGTTTAAGACATGTTTATTATCCTTAAATCTGAACCTTTTCCACATTATTCAGCAGTGATCCGTACAAACAGAGGGATAAAGCCGCGGTGATTGTGCCTGAGAGAACTTCACCTCAGGTGCAGAAACTGATCAAAGCAGCTGAAATAGTTAATAACATTTGTGTTTTATCGGTTAATGAGAGTCACAAAGATCTTACCTTACTGTCCTTCCGCTCGAAGGGTGAAATACACGCAGTGGTTGAATAAAATAAGTGTAAAAACAGCTCAGGTATGATCGAGTCCGTCTCTGATTTCTGCTGCGCTCGCGCCACTGATGTTCGATTCACGAACCGGTTGATTCATTTGAACCGACTTGAACCGACTCGTTTGTAAATCACTTGACTATTATGCAAAAGAGCCGAGACACATGTTTGGAGTAATATTTCACACAAAATCTTGCTTTCAGTAAATAAACTTAAGTTCTCGATTATGGTATAAAAAGAATAATGATCTCAGTTTTGTTTTTATATTATATTTTATATTGGTGCTGTCAAACGATTAATCGCGATTAATCGCATCCAAAATAAGTTTTATGTTTACATAATACATGTAGGCCTACGTGTAGGCTACTGTGTATATTTATTATATAAATACACACACATGCATGTATATATTTCAGAAAAATATGTTTTATATATTAAATATATGTATTTATAATATAAATTATATGAATATATAGACATGTAAACACAACACTCAAAATATATACTGTATGTGTGTGTATTTATATATACATATTAAATATACACAGAACACACACATATATTATTCAAACAAAAAAAATTATTTTGCATGCGATTAATCGTTTGACAGCACTATTTTATATATTTATATTAACTGGTAAGAGGACATTTCTGATTGCTGACCTGAACAAATCTAATCATTTAAATGAACCGACTCCCTGAAATGAATCGCGTTCACACGTCACTCACGACCGTTTGGTCTTTAACGTGCTGCAATTAATCTAGTGTAATGATGATTATACCTGCTGATTAATAATCAGTGCCACAGAAATTACTCTAAACAATTACATCACAGCATTAGTCACAGCATTAGTCGCGCAACACACGCGGTGATTCGTTATTAAATGATTCAGTGTATCGAACGAATCAATGATTCAGTAACCCAACTATAAAGACAGGCACTTGGTTCATTCTTGAATGCTTCAGCCGTCTGAACGAATCGTTTGAATGAATGACTCAATGACTCACTCAATAAGACAGTCACTTGCTGCCACCTGCTGCCGGTTTACTTTTATATTTAAAAGTATTTCATATTTGTATATTTTAAAAAAAACCTTTAAATTTAAAATTGTAATTTAAACATAACATTATTTATGCAGCTGTAATTTTGCAGCCTATAAATGCATTCATGGCATGCTCCATGTGAGCTTCATTACCTTTGTCTGTGTAAAAATGCATCTAAATGCCACTTCAGCTGCTTCTTACTGCTTTTGTTGATTCTGATTTCATTTGATTGGTAACAGTCCTATAGTGTCTCATTATATTAACTGTAATAACTAGTAAAATTTAACAATTTGATATTAAAAATTATGCATACATTTAATAAGGTTAGTAAAAAGAATGCCTTTTTATAGGCAAAAATGACCTGGAAACCCATTTAAGTCAATTTTAGTGTGCAGTCGTGAACTTTAATCATATAAAAAATTATTTCCCAGCAACAAAATTATGGCCGGTGAAAATGCTGAGTGGCGAGTAATTTAGGAAAACCGAGCATAGCATGCATATATGCCAGCTTTTTTATTTATTTATTTATTTTATAATTTCGGGGTTGTTTTGCATAAAAAAAATTATGCTAGAGGTGAAATGTGAACATCAAAAAGAATATTGCATGCTGTTTTCTTCCATCAGTAGAGCATTTCAAGTAAGATGTTACCAGCATTACAATGCTAGTTCTGTCTCATCATGCATCATGCTGATATGTTTATTAAAAAAATTCAACAGTATACAATGTTTAACATATTCATAACTGCAAGAGCTATTGCTGTGCCATTAAACAATATGAAAATGTTCTTGTAAACGGTTTGGGTCAGAAAGCATCTGCACAAATATTAGTAAACACCTTTCTCCTTCCTTCTATTAAGCTGCCAGTTTTAAAGACTTTATTCTTCTTATCTCTCAACAAATGTTCAGCTTTTATTCCCCAGCTGTGCTCGCTGACATTTTGATGCAGGTTCAGCTCGGATCCCGAAAGGGTTTAAAAACAGCAGGAGAGACGTTTGTACACAGAGCTCAAATTTTACAACAGTCTGTTAATCTCAGCAAGAAAGCAAGAGATATGAGCATTTTAAATCAACATTTAGACTCATATTTCCCACCTCCCATATGTTAGTTTTTAATATCAGCTCTTGATAATGTAATACAATTTAAAAAGTAATTATTCTCTCCTGTTGAAACTCTCAAGTACTTTTAATGCTCCTGCAATGACATAATAAATACAGAGACATTTCATTTCTAATGCTGATTTAATTATATAACCCAAAAACGAAAAATGTGGATGAGTTTGTTTCTTCATCAGGTTTGGAGAAATGTAGCATTGCATCAGAGTCTCAGCAATGGATGCTCTGCAGTGAATGGGTGCCGTCAGAACGAGAGCTGATAAAAACATCACAATAATCCACAGCACTCCAGTCCATCAGTTAACACCTGGACAAGACAAAATCTGAAACAAATCCAGCATTAAGATGTTTTTAACTAAAATACATTGAGTCCATAATCCATAATAACTCTTCCTCCAGTGAAAAAGTGTTCTGGTCTGAATCAGGAGAGAAATCTGCACAGATCAAGCAGCGTTTAAACAGCTCTAAACTAATATGTGGCTGGATTTTGATGTGAGAGACAACAGCAGATGCACTTTTTTCACTGAAGGAAGCGTTATTATGGATTATGGACTCGTATTTTAGTTGCAAACGTCTTAATGCTGGATTAGTTTCAGCTTTTGTCTTCTCCAGATGTTAACTGATGGACTGGAGTGCTGTGGATTACTTGTGGATTATTGTGATGTTTTTATCAGCTGTTTGGACTCTCATTCTGACGGCACCCATTCGCTTGCAGTGAGACACTGATGCAATGCTGCATTTCTACAAATCTTATGAAGACACAAACTCATCCTGATCTCGGATGATCTGAGAGTGAGCACGTTTTCAGCTGATTTTCATGCCTTTTATAAACTATTTGCTCACCTACACCAACCAACCGAACAAAACCGAGCCAAAACTAGTTTATTAGCTGTCTGTGTCTCAGTCTCAGGTGCAAAAGTCCAAAAACGAGATTGTTAGACCAGCTCTCACTCTGTCTCTTCTTCTTTTAAATAACCTGTTGCTTCAAACTCCTTTCACAAATAAAGATCAGATCTAAATACAGGGCCGAAGACGTGCATCTGCACAGAGAGCGTGAGAATCCCTTCTGAAGGTGAGTCAAGTAGTTTTGAGAAGAAGCACGGCACTATAATTGATCATGAGGCGGTTTGCGGAGGTTAAATTGACAGTTTAATGAAGCTCAGAAAGTCTCACACAAGCGTCAGAAATGCCGCCCACATTCCCAGCGGCTTTAACAGAATCCCTCCGAACAAACACAGGCCACTAGGGTTGTTTGTGAGCTAAACTAGCCTTTCCTCTTCCAGTGAAACGATGCACTAGGCACAATCATTACAAACTGTTTGTCGGCTCTATTTAAACTCTTAATATCCACCTAACCCACAATTCTCTGCAAATAAATCACAAATAGTTTGAAGTGGTTCATGCATCTGTTAAGTCATTATTCCTCGTTGTGGAAATAATCACCATTTTTTAGCCGTTCGAGTTACTTAGCAACCAAAACGTGCTTCACTTGATAAACATCAAACAAATCAGCATCCCAGTGTTTGTCCAAATGCGTTAACATGTATTTTCATTCGTAAGAGGATGCAGAAACTATCGTGTGATGACTAGGCTGGAAAACAAAGATTGTTTCTGCAGTGCATCATGGATAATTCATGAAGAAGAAACTGCTCAGTGTCCTGAAACCCTGATTAACAGCTTCACTTCATTTGTTTGGTCTCTAGTACTCCGTTTTTACTCAATGTTGCCATATTAAAATCTAAATTAATTATTAATTAATTAACAAATTTATTATAGGTAAGATGCAGATCCATGAAAAACAAAGTAAAACACTTTAAAATAATTCACGATAAATAAAACAACCTTTGTTGTCTTGCAGTGAACTAAACAAATATTTGTAACTTAATATATTATGTTATGATATAATGTAATTTAATATAATTTATTTAAAGTATATATATATGTATATAAAGATTTTGTCATTCAAATATTTATTTAGATGATTAATATATGATATTAAAGTTAAACTGGTGCAACAAATGTGATGCTCATATTTATTGTCACATCAGTGAAAATGTGAAAATGTGTGACTGTGTAACACTGCCATCATGTGGTCATTCATTACAATTACATAAAAATGTTTAAAAATTAATTCTCACAGATGTCAATGCTAAAAAAAATGTCAGTTCACAGTAGGACTAATATAAAACAATATCATATAAAGCATATAAATTGTGGTCCTTATATCCAACATTCAGCCCTTGTGATGCTTCTCGTCTTTATTTTAATTCACTGGATTCAGCAGCATCTGGCAGCCTGAAGACTGTCGGAGGAACAGATTAGAAATAGACATGAACATCTTCATTTTGGAAACATAAAGGCAAAACATCTGCAGAAATTAGAAAATATTCAAAGAACACTTTCTTGTCCAGACTAAAGAACATGTACACAAGACACATATTCACATGCCCTTAAAGGAATAGTTAAACTAAAAATGAAAATGTATGTTTGCACAAAAGCATTATACATCTTTCATGGAATGTTTTATTTCTGAAACATCTTGATTCAACGTTCATATGACGTTTTTTTTAAATGTTGCTACTTGTTTCAGAACGTTCAGAGAACATTCAAAAGTAGCGTTCCCATGATGTTTGCCAAATTACAAAATGGAACATTCCCTTTACGTTCACATGACCACAATAAAACGTTTTTGAAATATTTAAAACTGGGCATTTTTAATGTTCAGAGAACATTCATTTTAACTTAACTTAATAAGAATGTTAGTAAAATGTTCTTAAAACATTTTTGTTTGGTGAGGCAACGGTTTAAAGTTAGAAGCGTCTTAATGCTGGATTAGTTTCAGCTTTTGTCTTCTCCAGATGTTAACTGATGGACTGGAGTGCTGTGGATTACTTGTGGATTATTGTGATGTTTTTATCAGCTGTTTGGACTCTCATTCTGACGGCACCCATTCACTTGCAGTGAGACACTTGATGCAGTGCTACATTTCTACAAACCTGATGAAGAAACAAACTCATCCTGATCTTGCATGAGCACGTTTTCTTGTTTGGGTGAACTATTCCTTTAATATCGCAATGAATATAATATAGAATATCCTGACTTTAGCCATTGAAAGAATCAGTCATTAAAGTACCTCAGCTGTTGCTTTACTGTGGTATGAAAGCATCTCCCGCAGCTCCGTTCTTGAGGTTATCTTCAGCTGGTTTCTCAGGACATTCAGGCGTCACGTCAGCTCTGTCTGTGTCACTTCGGCCTGCGTGTGTTGAATCGTCCCCCAGCGTAAAGCTGCACCAGGATTCGTGTGTTGGATCCTGATTCTCATACGGGAATGTAAAAGAACACAGCGCTCTCTGCATCATAACGTTCTTCCATTTCACAATTGACTTCGGTCTGGGAGTGTCTGGTTTCTGAAGAGCGTCTGCATTAGACTGTGTGCTTCTGATGGATGAAGGATTCTTGAACTGAACTGGCTCCTGTTTCATCTCAGTGGCATCTTCACAGTGTTCGAGTTCTTCTTTAAAGATCTTCAGCCATGAAACCAAAGACGCTTCAGAGTCCGGTGATGTTGTGTCAGGCTTTTCATGCAGATGTTGTTCATGTTCATCTGCGTTCGTTTCAGTGTGAGTTGTTGATTCCTCATTGGTTTGGACGTCCGGTTTGAGATCAGATGAATCGTGGCCATTAATGTTTCTGTGTGCAGGTGCAGAAGCTTCTTTGATTGCACTAGAATTAATATCAGGGAAATCGAACTCAGCCGACTCGCTTGAAACATCAGCAAAAGAAAACGAAATCCTTCTGTTGTGACTCTGTTTGTCTGTTTTCCCAGGTTGCTGTCTGTTAACTGGGTTAGCGGTCATCGGGCTGTTTTCTGAACTGCTGCTGTCCAGTTGTCGGCGCCACAAGCGGCGACTGGTTTTTCTCGGCGGCGCCCGGATCACTGGAGGACTCTGGGTAGACGACGAATCTCGGTGATCATCCTGAATCTCAGAGGAGCCTGTGAGATCAGATCACATGTGTGAGGATGCGGATTCAGAAGTCGTCTTTCATCTTTACCGACGTTTGGGGTCAGTAAGATTTTTATTGAAAGAAATTCATACGCATTAAATTGATCAAAAGTGGCATTTATGATGTTACAAAAGATTTCTATTTCGAATAAATGCTGGATTCATCTGTGAATCCTGAAAAATAAAATGCATCACGATTTCCACATAAATATTGTGCAGCAAATCAGCATATTAGAATGATTTCTGAAGATCATGTGACACTGAAGACTGGAGTAATGATGCTGGAAATACAGCTGCGCATCACAGAAATACATTACAGTTTAACAGATATTCACACAGAAAACAGCTATTTTACATTTAAAAAATATTTCACATTTTCACTATATTTTTGATCAGATAAATGCATTTTGAAATGCTTCTTTCAAAAACACTAAAACATCTTTCAGAAACCAAACTTTTTTGAACATTAATGTATGCTTATATTTTGGGCATGTTTAGCCATATTTAGCCAGTTTTGTCTTTAATAACAATAATATTTTTAACTAATTTAAAAGGGTGATATCTACAGATCATAAACTCAGCAAACATGGAAGATGAATTCTAAAATGATATTTATATGGTATTTTGCCATATAAATAGATAGATACTTACTATGTATAGGCCAATATGTTTACATTTATACAAATTTGCATCTGTACATAAGCCTTCTGATTACTCCACCTAAATGCATGCATTACTTGTTTTTATTTTTATTCCTACTTACTGAAAATTGATTTCTATTCTTGTCTTGTATATATATGCATGTACCCAGAGCTCCTGGAAGCCTCAACAAATTGCTTTTGTCTTTGTGCACACTTCAATATTCACATATTCAAATGATATTCAAATTTGGTAAAGACTGACCTTTAACACGAGTGGGCGCCGCAGGTGATGACTGACCCTGTAATGAAACGGTTAATTATGCAGACTGACACATCCATGAGCCCTGATCTACACAGATTCTGATGAGATGTTCGGTGAGGAAAACAACACTTGAAGACACTGACGAAGCAGGACATACTGAACAGTGACCACTTAAAGAACTTGGACACTTTACTGTCAAAATAACAATGCGAATGGCTTCAGAGATTTACGGAGGCCCTAAAGCCCAAAGTATGCGTACGCTAGCGTATGTGTACAGTAGAACACGTACAGTAGCCTTTCAGAGGATTCTCCATTTGATATCATGCGCGAATGCAGGCAGTCGACACAAGCGCTCTAGAAAGCTTCATCTTAGTCCAGTGTCTGCACTATATTTCTCCAGAAGTTATGACTGATAAACATATCTTTGTACTCTTTTAATCTTAAGTTATTTTCTCTCTCATAACAAGCGCTTGTCAATGCAGCTGTCTGTTGTTGTTTTAGTCTCTGCTGTTTTGTTGTTGCTGTTGTTGTTCCGTCTCTTTAATTTCGTTTTCTACTGTGAAACAACAGGCCGGATCAGTGCTGCCACCTTGTGGAACAACTGATTAGTGCAAAAAAAAAAATGTATGTATGACATGCACATGTGCATACTATTCTGGTGACAAAATTTGCATACCACGCACTGTACGCGGACCCTCGCGTACTCATAATAACCGAAGTATACTTTGGGTTTAAAGGGACACGGTAAAAAATTGAGAGAGATACGAGTAAAAAATACATATTTCAGTGCAAAACAAAAACAAACAAAAAAACGCTTGCAAAAATTCACCATCTCCCTGAGAAACGTTGTGTTTGCTCTCAGAATTTTGGTGATGGAAATAATATGAGGTGGTAGAAAAACCTATATTCCTGTACTTTTGCTAGAGAGTGCAAAGTTTATTGGGGAAACGCAATAGTTTTGCAAGCGAATGCCATTTCTTGTGGGAACACAAATGTTTTGGGATCGAATGTGAATGTTTTGTAAGAGAACGCAACTTTTTCAAGACAAAGTCAATTGTATTAAGAGCGGACGCAAATGTTTTGGGAGAGAACGCAACGCAATAGTTTGGTGAAAGAACGCAAGTGTATTGTAAACTAAAGCAAAGTTTCTCGAAGGAACGCAATAGTTTTGTGAGAGAGCGCAATATTACTGCAAATGAGAGTTTTGCAAAGGAACACAACGTTTCTAGAGGGAATGCAATAGTTTTAGGAGTGGACACAAAAAGAAAACGCAAAGTATCTCGGGGGAACGCAATCGTTTTGTGTGGAAACGCAAATGTATTGTAAACTAAAGCAAAAACGCTGCGCAAAGTTTCTATGTGGAACGCAAACGTTTTACCAGAGAACACAAATTGTAAACTAAAGCAACGTTTTTCTGGGCAATGCAAAAGTTTTGCAAATGAGTGCAAAGTTTCTCAGAATAACGCAAAAGTTTTGAGAGCGAACGCAAAAGCATTGTAATACAATTTTTCCTCCCATCTCATATTTATCCATCATCATCACGCCTCCTTAAGGGCTCTGTAGATACTAATGAAGGACATTCACTCATTTAGAAGTGAACGAGCAATTGGAGCACAAAAGCAGTCATAAGCAGCACAGGTATATTTGTAGCAATAGCCAACAATACATTGTATGGATCAAAATGATCCATTTTATGCAAAAATCATTAGGATATTAAGTAAAGATCATGTTCCATGAAGATATTTTGTAAATTTCCTACCGTAAATATATCAAAACTTAATGTTTGATTAGTAATATGCATTGCTAAGAACTTCATTTGAACAACTTTAAAGATGATTTTCTCAATATTTAGATTTTTTTGCACCCTCAGATTCCAGATTTTCAAATAGTTGTATCTCAGCCAAATATTGTCCGATCCTAACAAACCATACATCAACGGAAAGCTTATTTATTCGGCTTTCAGATGATGCATAAATCTCAATTTCAGAAAATTGACCCTTATGACTGGTTTTGTGGTCCAGGGCATGTCACTGACCTCCAGCTTGTGCGGTTTCTCATCGCTCTGTCTGCGTCTCCTGTTGTTGGACAGCATCCGGTAGAGCTGTAACTGTTTCCTATATCGCCGGGTGCGGAGCATGTGGACCGGCCGCGTGCGGAGGCTGCGGTGGGACTTTAGGGAGGTGCTGGAGGGTGATGGAGAGGAGTCTGTCCCAGAGCTGCACAGCTGCAGGTCTCTGACGGAGCGAGTCATCGGCTTCGGACTATTCGAGTCTTCACACCGATTACGAAGCATCTCCACTCGCTTCAGTCGCTCTCGGAAGCTTCTGGGCTTCGGCTTCAAAGACCCCGTGAAGCTCAGTATGGGAATCGGCATCTTCCAGATGCGTATGGCTCTCCTGAGCAGTTTGTGAGAGCGGGTGTTTAAGTAGATGGCGGGATGGGCCGCGCCGATGCTCTTGTTTCGGCGGCGGGTTTGTGGAGCAGACTCCTGCTCTGGTTCATTAGCAGCTGATGATTGAACATCAGAGGAGCTCATGGATGAGGATGAAGCTTCTGCAGCACCAGACAACATTGCTGGACAAAAAGAAACATCTCTTAACCTCGAATGCAATACTCATTCACATATCAATGACCTGTATACAAGTTACAAACAGTCCCTGTACCTGTCTTATTGAAGAATCATTGATATGTGACCCTGGAGCACAAAAGCAGTCATAAGCAGCACAGGTATATTTGTAGCAATAGCCAACAATACATTGTATGGGTCAAAATTATCCATTTTTCTTTTATGCCAAAAATCATTTTCATGGAAAATCATGTTCCATGAAGATATTTTGTGAATCTCCTACCGTAAATATATAAAAACTTAATGTTTGATTAGTAATATGCATTGCTAAGAACTTCATTTGGACAACTTTAAAGATGATTTTCTCAATATTTAGATTTTTTTGCACCCTCAGATTCCAGATTTTCAAATAGTTGTATCTCGACCAAATATTGTCCTATCCTAACAAACCATACATCAATGGAAAGCTTATTTATTCAGCTTACAGATGATGTATAAATCTCAATTTCAGAAAAAAATTACCCTTATGACTGGTTTTGTGCTCCAGGGTCACATACAGGGCCGGAGTGGGACTCATTTTCAGCCCTGGAGTTTCATGCCTTAGACCGGCCCACTTTTTTATTTGTATTTTTTAAATCTATTATTCGCTCACATATCTCCTACAACTGAGGTTTTTTTTTTTTAAAAGGGTGCCACCGTCAGGGGAGTCAAAAGATAATTACATCATCATTAGGGACAACAATATTTAATGAGGTTAATTTATAACGTTACCAGGGCCGGAGTGGGACTCGTTTTCAACCTTGGAGTTTCATGCCTTCTTTTTTCTTTTTTTTTTTCATCTATTTTTCGCTTGCATATCTCCTACAACTGAGGTTTTTGTTTTTTTGAGCAAGGTGCCACTGTCAGGGGAGTCAAAAGATAATTATATCATCATTAGGGTTGCCAATTAACTTCAGAAATGGAAAATAAGGGCTAATTGTGATTCTTTATCTTTTATTCTTTAAAATAAAGAAAATAAGGGACAGAATAATGGACGATCCAAATATGTGTACTGTACCATAATGTAGGCCTATATCTGCCTGCAGTTAAAAAGTTCTCAGAAATAATCACTTTTGTTTTGCTTAACCCATTTATGTACAAGTATTCTAAAAAAACATTTGTCATACATGTCATACAAAAAATGCCATCGGCCTGAGTAAATTTGACCATTATAGAATTGTGACTTTACAAGGGTAGTAATTTAGGAGGTGAAAATACTGTGAAATTACAAATGGCATGGAATTTGAAAGCATAACAACTGAAGGTCTATGAAACGTCAGTCAATAAAGCATTTTTTAAACAATGGCACTTAAAATATTATTTCAACCATATAGCCTGTGAATGAATAAAAATGCATACTTTTAAATGAAAGAACACTTAGAGTGTAGGTTGCTTCTGGTGCTTGGATGTGTACTTCAATATAATGAGGTCCAAGTTTAAGAATAGCCTACACTAGTTTTTTTTTTTTCCTTTTTTTCTTTTCAATGTATTTTTCTCTCTCTCTATTTAACAGCATTAACTTACAATGAAATACGTCTTCGTTCAGGTAGACTGAATGTTTTCCTGCCTTGCTAAATGTTGGGCTCATGATCAATCAGTTGCATTCGCCCAAACTGATTTTGTAAAATCAAAACACGCCTACGTTCACAAATAACAATAATTTTCGCAAAAAGAATGATTAACTATCAATTGAGAATTTGTTATTATCATGGTCTGGTGAAAATAATAATATGGGCTGCAAGAAAATAATAAATAAAAAGAGTAGGGCTGCTGAGAGTGCAGTTTTTATTTAAAATTTTGTTAAAGTTTTAGTATTTTTTGTAGCGAGTTTGTCATTTTTATTAGTTTTTCATCTGTCTTTAAAGTTTTTTTATTATTTATTTTAATTATTTCAGTACTTAATCTAAATGAAAGTAAGAAATATGCTTCCTTGGCAACTAATCAAAATAAAAATAATTGACCTTTTTATATTTCATTTCAGTTCATGCTAATTTTATTTCAAGTATGTGTGTATTGTAGAAAATAAGTGTTTATTCTTTAAGAAAATAATGGGCAGAATAAGGGACGCTCCAAATATTTGTACTGTACCATAATGTAGGCCTATATCTGCCTGCAGTTAAAAAGTTCTCAGAAATAATCACATTTGTTTTGCTTAACCCATTTATGTACAATTATTCTAAAAAACAAATTTAATGTCATTCAAAAAATGCCATCGGCCTGAGTAAATTTGACCATTATAGAATTGTGACTTTACAAGGGTAGTAATTTAGGAGGTGAAAATACTGTGAAATTACAAATGGCATGGAATTTGAAAGCATAACAACTGAAGGTCTATGAAACGTCAGTCAATAAAGCATTTTTTAAACAATGGCACTTAAAATATTATTTCAACCATATAGCCTGTGAATGAATAAAAATGCATACTTTTAAATGAAAGAACACTTAGAGTGTAGGTTGCTTCTGGTGCTTGGATGTGTACTTCAATATAATGAGGTCCAAGTTTAAGAATAGCCTACACTAGTTTTTTTTTTTTCCTTTTTTTCTTTTCAATGTATTTTTCTCTCTCTCTATTTAACAGCATTAACTTACAATGAAATACGTCTTCGTTCAGGTAGACTGAATGTTTAACATTTTTGCTAAATGTTGGGCTCATGATCAATCAGTTGCATTCGCCCAAACTGATTTTGTAAAATCAAAACACGCCTACGTTCACAAATAACAATAATTTTCGCAAAAAGAATGATTAACTATCAATTGAGAATTTGTTATTATCATGGTCTGGTGAAAATAATAATATGGGCTGCAAGAAAATAATAAATAAAAAGAGTAGGGCTGCTGAGAGTGCAGTTTTTATTTAAAATTTTGTTAAAGTTTTAGTATTTTTTGTAGCGAGTTTGTCATTTTTATTAGTTTTTCATCTGTCTTTAAAGTTTTTTTATTATTTATTTTAATTATTTCAGTACTTAATCTAAATGAAAGTAAGAAATATGCTTCCTTGGCAACTAATCAAAATAAAAATAATTGACCTTTTTATATTTCATTTCAGTTCATGCTAATTTTATTTCAAGTATGTGTGTATTCATTTAATGATTCGTTTTAACTATAATGATCCTGACCTGAATCTCCCCCAACAGTTAAGAATTGTTTTAAATAAATGTTTATAAAAATGATTTGTAATAAAAAAAATAAATACAAATAATAAATCGTCTGATGTCTAATGACAGCTGATTTACTGTAGTAAAAGCAGAAACTATGACTACACACTCACACAATCTACTCATGTATACTATAGTGACCATATACTGTAACTTAAAATACACTGAAACTGCTCTGAATGTACATGATTGTTTCAAAGAGATTCGATCACAGATCATATAAAGTTAAAATGATATAAAGCACGTTAAAAGTGAATATGAATATTGAGTCTCACACACCTGTGGTGATTCTCTTCGCCTTGGTTGTGTTCTTCTCCGTCTGTGATCGATGATTTTCACTCATCTCTGCTGATCAGCATCTGAAGATTCAGTGAATCTGTAACCGATGCGATTTCAAAACACGCTTCAGACTCGTATCATTTGAATCGACTCTTTACTTTCGAATCGCTCAGAACGTTCGAATGCACACCAGACGAGCGAATCGTTCAGCTTGCGACATTAATTGCCACGAGGCAAGAATACGTTTCATTTTATTTTTATTTCACTTGTTTTCTGTTAGATGCATGACGAAATAGATGTATCAAGAAGAGATGTTTAATTCTCAAGCCATTAAATCACTGACGTTATGAAAGAAATTTCGTATGAATGCGTTAAAATCTCTTATATAGTATTCTCTGATATAGGCTATAATAAGTACATTTTCTGTAATATTCTATCAATATTCTTTTTTTTTTTTTTAATGCATAAAACTTTAGATACAGAGCTGAAATTGTCTGTGTGATTGCATCACTATTATACAACTTAGAGACTCGTCAACAAAAAATAAGCAATAGAAACAACACAAGATCGTAATATGATGTATGATCAGATGTTAAACAATCAATAAATGACTCGTCACATCATCATGATTCTTGAGTTTAACAGTGAAGATTGCCAAAGCAGCAAAGAGTCAAATTCCACTTTCAGACAGATCGGACACGATTGCTCCAGCTCTCTTTCGATGTGGACATGAGCAGGTATGATATGCTGTATTTCTCTCGTTTGATTTTGTGATGAATTGTGCTGAAGGCTGATAATGTCAGTCTAAATGCAGGACTGAAAGTGGATCTCCAACCTGTAAAAATAAAGAGTTCAAGTCAATATTGGATGAAACTCTATATGTGTTTGATGATACAAAGATATAACTAGTAACTATCCTTCATGGCTTCACTGACAGATGAAAAGAAGTTGAAGTGATGAGTGTGTGATAATCACTTCATTAGTGCATTAAACACAGACACACACGCATCACTTCATTAGTGCATTAAACACAGACACACGCATCACTTCATTAGTGCATTAAACACACACACACACACACACATCACTGCATTAGTACAAAATGCTTACACTAGGTAAACTGCCAACTTATATTTGTAATCTTTTATCATATTATACTTGTAATTATAGCACTAGAAACTCTTACAAATTACATTTGACTGTTCCTAGAGTGCGCTCTGAATTTGGCAAAACTGCCTTTTCCTCCTATGGTCCTAAGCTATGGAATGAAATGCAGAGTGTTATGATGTTAGAAACAATTCCATCTCTAAATATTTTTAGAAATCTTTTGGAGTTCTACCTGGAAGAAACTTGTGAATGTTTTATGTAATTTTTAATATGATGTTGGATGATATTTTTTGTTTTGTTTTATGTGCGTCTAATCTGTTTGTGAAACTTTCTGTGCTGCCATTTTGGCCAGGACTCCCTGGTAGAAGAGATTTATATCTCAATAGGATAATTCCTGGTAAAATAAAGGATAATAATAATAATAATATGTACACTGTATATGCAGTATGATGATTTTTACACAGTTATGCAACTGAACTGAATCAATACTGAACTGACTTGAGCTGTAGAATGACACTATTGACTTGTTAGAGCTGCTTTACAGCAGAATGTGAATGTGATACTATTGTGAAGTTGCTGTGAAAATCTAAATTGTATAAAGCACTTCAGAAATAAAGTTGACTTTCTGGCTTGGCTTCTATGCATATTCAGATAGATCAATAGATCGATAGATCGATAGATAGATAAAGCACTTTATACAATATAGATACAATGTACAGAAAACAGAAATGCAAGGGAGTAAAAATAATTTCTTTATAAAAAAAACTGAGTTTTGATTACTAAGTGAACAAATGATGTATAAGTGTTTTCATGCATGATCATTGTGTGTAGGTCATCAGTAAATGAGTGTGGCATTTAAATGGCAGTGTTTCCCAAATTAAACAAAAGAGCTGTTCGTTTCGAATAATATGTGTAATGCAGAGAACTGTGTTTAGAGTTTTGCAAAAAGTTTGTATTACAATATCAAACTGAGTTTAAAGCATGTAATGTGCTTGTAGTTTTGCAGACTTGTCTAAAGATTAGGTATATGAGTGAATGGTTTCACTAAGTGGGCCTCAAGTACCACTGTTAGTGTCCAAGCAATTTAAAAAAACTGTAAATACACACACACACACACACACACCACTGCATTAGTGCATTAAATACACACACACACACCACTGCATTAGTGTATTAAATACACGCGCACATACACACACACACACACATGCTTAATTCTAACACTAAAGCTTGCATAAGAAAGAAGGCACAGCACTTCTGTCATTCTCATGAATGCTGGAGCCTCATAAATATGCTGCATTCAAGCAGCAGGAATCCGTGACCTTGGTTCTTTTCCATTAAGGGCAGTGTGATGTCATCATTCCTTTGCTTGGCGTTCCTCTGTTTTTTGGGCAGGCCAGAGACAGCTGGCTAAAACACATGATCGATATTCATCATCAGCACAGTGCTCTCTGAAATTAATTTAATAAGTATGGCTGTGAAACACGCATCGATCCGCCCGTCTTTAACTGTTGTTACCTTGAAGTGTGTTTTGTTCCAGCCGGCCTTACACAGCGTGTGTCGCAGATCCTTATAGGCCCAAACCGTCTGCAGGAGGTGTGACGCGGCTTTGGTCTCGCGCACCGATTGGCTGACAAGTTCACAGATCAACAAGACAGAAAACATCCTGATCAGACCAAAACTACAGCTTTACATCTACTGTTTAGGGTTGTTTCTATGGGAGTAGATTTGTAGATTTTAACATGTTGCTATAGCATAGGGTGTTCTGGGTGGTTGCTATGGGTTTGCTAAGGTGTTCTGAGTGGATTTTACCACGTCGCTGTGGCATAGGGTGTTTTGGGTGGTTGCTAAGGTGTTCTGAGTGGATTTTACCAAGTTGCTACAGTATAGGGTGTTTTGGGTGGTTGCTAAGGTGTTCTGAGTGGATTTTACCAAGTTGCTACAGCATAGGGTGTTTTGGGTGGTTGATATGGGTTTGCTAAGGTGCTCTGAGTAGATTTTACCACATCGCTATGGCACAGGGTGTTTTGGGTGGTTGCTAAGGTGTTCTGAGTGGATTGCTAGATTGATCAAATAGCAAAACACAGTTTTTAAAGAAAGACTTAGTCTGACAAATCCTTTCCTGAATGAACTGACTGAATCCATCATAGCGGTTACTAAATCAACATCTAGTTCTGCATTAACATTTAAATGCATTACAGTGCATTGCATTGATTGAATATTAGATATATTATCCGGTTGCTACAGCATAGGGTGTTTTGGGTGGTTGATATGGGTTTGCTAAGGTGTTCTGAGTAGATTTTACCACATCGCTATGGCATAGGGTGTTTTGGGTGGTTGCTAAGGTGTTCTGAGTGGGTTTTACCACATCGCTATGGCATAGGGTGTTTTGGGTGGTTGATATGGGTTTGCTAAGGTGCTCTGAGTAGATTTTACCACATCGCTATGGCACAGGGTGTTTTGGGTGGTTGCTAAGGTGTTCTGAGTGGGTTTTACCACATTGCTATGGCATAGGGCGTTTTGGGTGGTTGCTATGGGTTTGCTAAGGTGTTCTGAGTGGATTTTACCATGTTGCTATAGCATAGGGCATTCTGGGTGGTTGCCATGGGGTTGCTAAGGTGTTGTGAGTTGATTTTACCACGTTGCTATGGCATAGGGCATTTTGTGTGATTTGACACCTGGTTCTGTTGATTGAGACCAGTTTCTGGATTCCCTGTCCCTGGATGAGGAATCTGGCATTCTCCAGGTTCTCAGAGACGATCTCCAGTATAGTGTTCAGGACGGCCACCACCGTGTCTCCCTCCAGGTTCTTGGCGGGTCGCTGCTGGCCGCAGGGCAGGTTACTGACCAGATCCCTCATGGCGTAACTCCCTGACCGGGCAGCAGAGAGACCGTCAGCCTCAGCATCACATGGAGAGCATCAGAGTAAAGCAGCTGCTCTGGATCTTACCGATAAGATCTTTGTTCTTGTGGTCGATGGCAAGGTTTCTGAGCGCAATGGTGATCGCTCGCACCACTTTATCCGCACCCGAGTGCAGCAGCTCCACCAGCACCGGCAGACCCTTCTCCTTACGCACCGTTGCTCGGATATAATTGGACCACTGAGAAAACGAAGAGGAAGTTTTGTTAAGAAGCTTTGATTCATGCTTTACTGCTCTGTATTGTAATTTTAAGTTTGTGTTTTGAACAGATAGTTTCACTTGTTACTCTGAAGAGTAAAACATACTCAGTCACACTATAAGTCATCTTAGTTTTGGTTTTGAATGTTTTCTCTAAAATCATTAATACTGTAATAATACAGAAAAAAAATATTAGGTCTAAATTTAGGATTTATATATTTGAATTGCATATAAAATTTCCATGCATTTAAATTACACAGTATTAAGTTAAACATACTAATAAACTTAATGTGCTGCATATTTTTCATAGATCACAGATAAATGAAACAGGTCCGATTTCCACAAAACGTAATGTTAATGTTAAAACTGTGTAATCCACATGCATGGGGATTTTATATGCAATTTAAATACATCAAAATTTTGTATGAATAAAAATACTTAAATTTTGAATTTAGGTCAATATTGCATGTGACCCTGGACCACAAAACCAGTCATAAGGGTCAATTTTGTGAAATTGAGATTTATACATAATAACATTACATGAGTAAATAATCTTTCCATTGATGTATGGTTTGTTAGAATAGGACAATGTTTGGCTGAGATACAACTATTTGAAAATCTGGAATCTGAGGGTGCAAAAAAATCAGCACGCATGCTTTAAACGTCACGTGTTTTATTTGCGAGGTCTGTGCGCAGCATGTGCAAAACGATGCTCAGGGCAGGCTGTACCGGTGGTAACTATACGACCCTCAGACAGAACAGGCAGGCTGTCGATGAGAGACAGAGCAGAGTAATGATGGAGCAAAGTGTGGATGCGCTGTCCTTGAAGGACGTTCAGCTCGGTTTTGTTTAGATTTTGCTTAGCATATAATTTTAAATGAAAGATGTCGTATTTATTTATTTTTCTCTGCGACACTTTTCCTACTGTATTAACATAAAAATGTCAAACGTATTTAGTATTTTGACAAGACGAATAAAAAAAAAAAAAGGCTATTTTTGTACAACCTACATTTTTATTTTTTTTCTCTATGCGACACTTTTTCCCTATCGTGTTGTCAATGTTAAACGAATTGTATCCTGACAAGACGAATAAAAATAAGAAATACAATTTTTGTACAACATTTTTTTTTCTCTGACACTTTGCTCTCCTACTGTTGCATAAAATATTAAACGACTTTTGTGTCTTAAGATAGCCTAATTCATATAAATTCAAGTCAAAGTCAATAAATTCAAGACTCTTGACAAGACGAATAAAATAACATACAATTTTGTGCAGAATACACTTTTATTTGTCAGCCTCTCTCTTTCCTTCAGTAGCGGAAATTTAAATATGAGATTCTGGAAATGAGATCTACATTCAGCGGGAACAGAAAATGATTCTAAGCAGACAGCGGGTGAACAAAGAGTGAATATATAGCGGAATATAACCTTGCGGGAGTAAAAAAACAGTCCCGCGCAGACCTCTACTCCAGGGTCACATATACAGTGGGTAAAAAAAATTAACTTAAATGATTTTAGCAAATGGCTGCAATATAACAAAGAGTGAAAAATGTAAGGGGGTCTGAATACTTTCCGTACCCACTGTATATCAGTGTTATTTTAATATCAGCAAGATACTATTATAGCTTTTTATTAATATTTTATTCATATGAATTTTCCATTTTAATTTTAGTTAAAACTTTAGTCAAATTTGTGGTGTATTTTTGTCATTTTTAGTAGTTTTTAAAATATACTTCTATGTAGTTTTAAATAATTTTAGTTTTAGTTATTTTAGTACATAAAGCTAAACTAAATTAAAATGAGAAATGTTGCCATGCAAACTAGCTAAAATGTTTCAGTCAAAGTGTTTTTGTACCATTATGTAATTACATAATTAAAATAACAGCACAGCAGTCTCCATGTATGACTGTACAGAAAACAGAAAATTCTGTGGAAAATGAGTATAGACTTCGTGATCAGAATTTCTTTCCATCCAAAAGTACTTCAAATCGGAACTCACAGTTCTGCTGGTGAAGATCTATTTTACTTGCTATGAAGTGCCTCAAAGCAAAACTCTGAACATCTCGCTATCTTAGTCAAAACCAGTGATTATTCAATCCTCAGAAGTGCTCGCTGTATCGGTCATATGACGGTCAGTCGCAGACTGGTGTGACTCACGGCCCAGTGTCCGGCTGACAGGTTCTGCAGGGCTCCAGCCGCCGCCTCCAGCGTGTTGTGATTCTGACTCAGTTTGAGGAGCGACAGGTAGAGTCGGACCACCTCCGGCTGGTACAGAAGCTCCAGGCCTGCAGAAACAGATCCATTAGCATGAATCATGCATGAGACACTTCATGCAATCATCTAAAATACATGTGAAACGGAAATGTGTGACATGAAGACCAAATCCCGTCAGAACTAGAGTTCTGCATTATTTTAAGAACACGTGAGCGCTGGTCGACAGGCTTTTACTGATGTTCTGAGAGGATTTCTTGAGCACTGCGGGACGAGCTACACACTGAAGTTTAATATTTAATGCAGAGGTTTGTTCAGATCACTCTGAGCACTAGTGCTGGTGATGCTGGAGTTGGTAAACAGCACTGAATAACAGATTTACAGTCACACCTGAACCAAAACATTCAAGATTCTGTATTTGATCCTCTACAGTCAAGCCAGATTCAGAAAGTCTGATCCCGGCTGAAAAGCAGAGACGATCACGTGAGGCTTTATGGATTTTATATATCAGAACGTGCCTTTCATACTAACAGTGTCTCTCTCTGTTACTGCAGCAATTCTTCATTCACATCAGTGAGTCAAACACACATCTAATGATCCTCCTGCAAGCAGATCATCAGACCATCCTCCTCAAATAAACACGTGCAGGTCATACTGAGAAACGCACAGCATTTCACTCCAAAACCATAAGAAAAAAAAGCACACTGCATAAAGAAAATGAAGACTATTTTTAGGACTGTTAAGTTTTTTGGTCTCCATTGCATTGCGTTATTTTTTATAACAATTAAGCAAATTTTCCCCAAGTTCTTATTACTGTATTCATTTTTTTTCTTAACATTAATTATCCAGGAAACCCTTTAAAATCATAAGACAAAATAATAATTATTTATTGCAGAAAATTACAAATATTTAAGGACTCAAAGTTTTTTTTTTTGCATTGCATTGTTATTTTTTATAACAATTAAACACACTTGTAGTATTTATTACTATAATGCATTGCTTTTCATTTTTAATTTATTATTTTTTTAATTATCTTCAGTGATGATTCTCAATAGACTACATGATACCCAAGAAAACTAACATTTCACTTTTTTTTCATTAACAGCATATTTTTTTATAATAATTAATCACATTTTCCCCAAATTTCTTATTACTGTAATCCATTTGATTTAATATTTTTATAAAAATTTTTATTGTAATTATCCTCAATAATGATTCTCATTAGACTCTCATTACTCTACTACTATAATTTTTACTGCATTCATGTAAAAAATATTCAGATCAAATTAAATGCAGTACTAAAAAAATACAAATAGAAATTTCCTTACGTAAACCTGACATAAAATATAACTATTAAATGAAAAACGTAAACTTAAAACCTTAAAAATTAGAGATGTTGCCTTGGCAAACAACTGAAATACATTAAGATAAAGTATTACATTTACTAAAGCTAAAACTAAATATTATTTTCCTTATCTAATATAAAGCGGGATACGGCTGACGGGACGCATACTGAGAGACAGAGGCGTCTGAGAGACCTGGTGTAATGATTAAAATCGCAGCCCTGCCTCTGTTTTGCCTGCAGTGTTTCTCAGGTTTCAGACACAGATTTCAAATGAAACGTGGCCAAACACAAACACACTCCAACCTTTCATCGGCAGACTCCTCCTGCACAGATCCGCACCGCCGCTCTTCTTCTCTCCGGCTCCGTGTCGCTTGCCTGAGGAGAACCAGCGCACACATCAGAGTGTGTGTGTGTGTGTGTGTGTGTG